AAACCCAACTCTTATGCCATTAGAAAGAGGATCATGAAAAACCTATAAAAAAATGGTTCAAGAAATTTTAGTTCGCTCATAAAGCTAAAGTCCGCTTGCTCTAGCAAAAAATGCCCACTGTGCACTATATAAAAAACAAAATTAATGCAGAACTTTTGCACCATCCGTTACAAGAAAATTTTCTACTATAGTAAAATTAATATGAAACCCATAACCGAATTATTATTTATCTAATTCCTTCTCACTCTATTGAAAAGAAAAATATCTTCGACTTTATCTACTTTTTATTATCATAGTCAAGATCATGATCTTTTGAGAATGGCAAGTCGGAACTAAACAAAAGATATGTACACAGAAATCAAACTAATGATACTTATTGTGGCAAAAAATAGTTTTGACCAGGATAAAGAAATATATATCTTACTTGGATCTACTGGAAAACGATGATATATCATTATCGTTAAAGAAATCACGGTTACGCGGTGCTAATGAAATATTTCGTGTTGTTGTTACACCTTCTTGTTGTATCGTTTGCATATCAGTCATTGCACTATGACTAATACCTCTATAAGAAAATACACTCATTTTTACTAACAACTCAAGTTAAACCAAAATAAAAATGATCATACCCTCGGCCAGCAAATCCCATGCCTAATCGTTCAAGTTGTTCAGCTTTTTTCGGATTTGACTGTTTTAATTTAGCTTCTTCGACATCTCGTTGTTTATTTATATCTTGATAGGCAAATTTCAAATTAGCCCTTTAGAAAAATAACAAGAACATATTCTATTAGAAACAAATCTCATAGTCTTGACTTACATTTGTTTTTCTAATTGTTTTTCGGTCTCTTCACGAGTTTTTATTTCTTGATGTACTTGAATTTCTTTCATTTTTTCTTGTTCTTGTACATTACGTTCAATTTCTTTAAAATCTGTCACTACTTTTTGTGCACCAAAACCTTTCTAAAAACAAAAAAATCCAAATGAAATTCATTCATTACCCATGATGTTCATTTTCTTCTGTTACCTTTTTAGATGGTGCTGGTCGTCGTTGTCCAATTGTTGACCTTTTAGGATCTAAAGTTTTTTGAGAACCATCTGTGTTGAATACATTTGGATCAATCGATGGACCTTCACCAGCTTGATTAACTTTAATAAAATAAGAATATGGTTGACGGTACGATGATTCAAAATAAAAAAATACCAGCAAAAACACTAACATTTATCTAAATTTTGATCATTTGATTCCGATGACACCAGATAATTTTCAGCATTATTTTCAGTGTTACTGCGAGCTGTTGTTAGTACAGAGTGTTCGTGAAAGAAGTCACCTTCTTTTTTATCGGCTGTATGATCAGTTTTCGGAGCATCATCGATAATTAACTAAAGGGGAAAAAAACACAAGAGATAACTAATTGTATTTTTGAATATTGACATACTTTTGTTCCATGTAATTTCATTGCTTTGGTCGCCAGCTGGTGCAATTTTTCTCGATAGAGTTGTGCTGCACGACTATTATATTTTTGTTGAATGTCTTTACTCTGACAGGCATGTTGTTGAAAAAATAGATCCTGAAATATAGCATATAAGTAAACTCTCTTGATTTTTAGCATCATATAATCACTGCAATCAAGATATTTAAATTCAAGAAACAATTAATTTACCGCATTTGCATTACCACCAACTTGCATTGCACGCAGCTGGAACCAAGTCCAATTTGTATCTAAATTTGTTGACCGAATAAACGATAAATGTACACCCAGTCCACGATGACGCGCAGAACAGTCAATACATAAAAATACTCCATATGTAATACTAGCCCATGTTGGATTTTTAGCTTCACAATCAAAACATGCCTGTAATGAAGAAAAAAAGACTCGTTTTAACAAAAATCTACAGTACTAAATTGTCAAAAAAATCGTACCTTATTTGCTGGTAAAGTTTTCAATCGTTTGAAAATAGTGTCAATATCTGCTTTAGTTGGTTCTTCGTTACTCATTTGCTGCTGATTATTTGATATTATTTAAACTTTAAAGACGCGTTTCGTTCTTAAATTTTGTTAAAAACTAAAGTAACAAATCTGAATTATAAACAAAGCTAATAACTAACTATACAAAAAGTGTTGTTATTTAGACTTTACAGTTACATAACCCTCATCCTCAGAACAATCCTAAAGGACGGAACAACAAAACAATACAATCATTTGTCTTGACACTTGACAAATACACTAGTCAAATTTTACTTTATTAGAAAACAAATATGATCTTACGCCCAATATATGATGACGTCAGCAATTACTCGTTTCAGGTTTGTCAAATTATTAAATGCTAAGAGACATTAAAAATGTTTGCATTTATGAGATGAATTTATAATAAAGAATCTTGGACATAGCAAGTCTAATATTTATAGTATAGACGTGGCATCATAGATCAATCAGGAATCTTATAGTATAGATAAAGGGTGAGGATAAAACACTTGAGAAAATTGTTAGGAGCAATTTGCGTCTCGATCTTGCGTCTACATCCCAGCGTCTCAATACAACTGGCTGAAATTATTTTGTTATAATAATGAGTGATTATTACATAGAACACAACATATCATTTATTTTAATTAAAAACATATTATCCGGAAAAGAAATAAACCAAAAATGAAACTAAAGATGTCGCTGTAAATCAGCGAGTGAGTCATCCTGCGCTAAAAAGTGGCGCAATCTATCAATGAGTAGTGAGTTTTCTTTTATATAAAAACGCGCTTTAACATGTCGTTTCTAAACGCGTTTACCAAACGAAAAAAATTCGAAGTTATATCATTTTAACGTCGTTAGAAAACGCGT